TTTTTTTGTGAAACTTGATTTCGAGATAGCAGTTGACCAACAAACTAGGACCAGTGACCGAACTTCTGAGGGGGTCCCGGACCCCAACCGCCAAACGGTGCCCGCGGGGCAGCCACGCCCATATTTGGTCCAAATTAGGCCCAATTTAGCCAAATACCCTGAACATGCCCAAAACCCAAATTTTAGGTGCTCTACTTGTAGCTAGTGGTCTCCTGAACTCGTATATGAAATTTCATCAAGATTGGACAAAAAATGACTGAGTTATGAGCCAAAAACCATATGCCCATATTTGGGCATACGCACCAAATTTGGTAGATTTCGTCCCATAAATTGGTCAAATATCAATATTTTCCACTGAAACTTACTTTATATGAAAGGTAAGCCTAAACTATATATTCTCTGTAAGTTATAGCTTTATATCTGTTTAAATGTGGATACTAAGGCGAAAAGACCACAAAAAATGAACTAAATTGCCCATATCTTGGTTCGCGATATTCGCGGAATTGATCTCATTAAAATTGTAACAACTCGATCAGTTTTCAAAATTTGTCCATGAAATTTTCGGAATCGACTCGAAATCGCATTTCCACCTTAGTTTGAGAACAAATTTTTGATTAAGGCCTCAAAAAAAATTTGGCGGCCAAATTCTGAATTTCTCCGGGAAAATTTTGGAATTTGGCCGCCAAATTTTTTTGGAGGCCTAAATCAAAAATTTGTTCTCAAACTAAGGTGGAAATGCGATTTCGAGTCGATTCCGAAAATTTCATGGAAAAATTTTGAAAACTGATCGAGTTGTTACAATTTTAATGAGATCAATTCCGCGAATATCGCGAACCAAGATATGGGCAATTTAGTTCATTTTTTGTGGTCTTTTCGCCTTAGTATCCACATTTAAACAGATATAAAGCTATAACTTACAGAGAATATGTAGTTTAGGCTTACCTTTCATATAAAGTAAGTTTCAGTGGAAAATATTGATATTTGACCAATTTATGGGACGAAATCTACCAAATTTGGTGCGTATGCCCAAATATGGGCATATGGTTTTTGGCTCATAACTCAGTCATTTTTTATCCAATCTTGATGAAATTTCATATACGAGTTCAGGAGACCACTAGCTACAAGTAGAGCACCTAAAATTTGGGTTTTGGGCATGTTCAGGGTATTTGGCTAAATTGGGCCTAATTTGGACCAAATATGGGCGTGGCTGCCCCGCGGGCACCGTTTGGCGGTTGGGGTCCGGGACCCCCTCAAAAGTTCGGTCACTGGTCCTAGTTTGTTGGTCAACTGCTATCTCGAAATCAAGTTTCACAAAAAAATATCCATTGGCCCCCCCCCTTAAAAGAAAATATATCTGCTATCTAATTTTTTTAAAAATTGAAGAATAAACCTGAAGAGAGGAGAAGGAGAGAGGGGTTTGACTATGCAGATGATTTGGCTATCATGGACAACACCAAGGACGGTCTCCAGGAGACGACTGATCTTTTATGCAAGTATGCGGCTCAGGCTGGCCTCAGAATCAATGCGAAGAAAACAGAGGTTATGGCCATCGGCAAGAATACATCACAGAGGCCGTATACTGAAGCATCAACGGTGGACATTACAGTAGGAGACACGGCTATCCAGCAAGTCAGCAACTTCACTTACCTTGGGTCGATTATATCAAGTGATGGGACTATTGACCGGGACTTGTCTGCACGGATCCAGAAAGCCTCAGGAGCATTCAATCAGCTCGGTAATATTTGGAAGAATCGCAATATCCAAACTAACACCAAAATACGTATATATGTTGCAGCGGTTCTAACAATATTACTTTATGGAAGCGAAGTCTGGAACACTACTTCAAAGCAACTACATCGCTTCGAAGTTTTTCATCAAAACTGTTTGAGGAGAATCCTTCGAATTAAGTGGTTCCACAGGACGAGCAATGTTCAAGTGTTGGAGCGGGCAAGAATAAACCCGGTTATAACCTACATCAGTGCCAACCGTCTTCGCTGGTTTGGACATGTTTCTAGAATGCCGGACACCAGGCTACCAAAGTATCTACTTGACTGGACACCTGCTCACGGCCGAAGATCACGTGGGCGGCCAAGAAAGAATTGGCGAACCTGTGTCCTAGAAGACGCAGTAACATTCACAGGAGATCCAGACATTGTATTTGATAAGGTCCAAGAGTTGGCAGGAAACCGAAAGCACTGGAGAGAGATGATACGACATAAGCGGCAATTCCTTGGTGCAGGCCACTCGAATGATTGAGGAGACCTTATCAAGTATCAAGTAAGTATAATTTGTAATTTATTTATTAAAAAAACCACGGATAGTTTTAAATTTATTTCTATTTGTCGTATAATCATGAACAATTTAATCCTGTTTTCAAGAATGCGCGGCTTTGGCGGCCAGTTATTGACTTATACATTAAATTAAATTTTAAATATAAATGTGAATATATTAAAATTTAAAACTTTCAAAACGGAGGCTTATAAATATTATTATATTATGATTGTAAAATAAAGGATAAAATTTTAAATTTGTTTCACTAAAAAAAATTTGTTTCACTTGAACCCGCGTAGCATATGATGATGAAAATCTAAATTATATGGCTACAATGAGTATTTTAATAACAATATTAATTCAATCCTATAATGTGTCATGTAATAATATTAAAACCGTTGTATGTATCTATTTAACAAACTTCTAATTATTATAGGCTACAACAGTGGCGTAACGTTGCCTGTTGGCGCCCCCGCCCCCCCCTGCCGAAAAAGCGCCCCCTGTTGGCGCCCCCTCCCCTTTTGGTGCTCCTCCCTAAAATTGAACAAATTAGGTGATTTTAGAGGATACGCCAGTAAAATGTAAAATCTCTAAAAAAGTGTGTATCTAAAGCAAAACACACAGTTTTGCTAGTACTTAACTTAAGTTTTCGAAATTGTCCCACATTCAAACGACAATATCAAGTCAAGATGTTCCCCATAATAATTTTAAAACGATTCCCGATCGAAAACGTTTTGGTAGAAAAAGTTACTCAAGTTACATAAATATCAATGGAATTTGAAAAACAAACAAACAAATTTGAAAAAGGGGGCACCAGTGGCGTAACGTTGCCTGTTGGCGCCCCCTGCCGAAAAAAGCGCCCCCCTGTTGGCGCCCCCTCCCCTTTTGGTGCCCCTCCCTAAAATTGAACAAATTAGGTGATTTTAGAGAATACGCCGGTAAAATCTCTAAAAAAGTGTGTATGTAGAGCAAAACGCGCAGTTTTGCTAGTACTTTAGTTAAGTTTTCGAAATTGTCCCACATTCAAACGACGATTTGGCGCCCCCCTAAGACGGCGCCCCCCTGCACAGCGGGGTCAGCAGGGCCTTTCGTTACGCCACTGGGGGGCACCAAAATTTTAATTGTCTAAATTATCATAATCTGATGAGTCAGTTGTGACTGGTGACACGTATCCTATTGGTGGTCGTCGATAACACTCTATGTAATGCGGTAAAAGTTTTCTGGGTTTCTTTTCCTTTTTCTTAGTTACTCCTGCACTGCTACTTTTGATTGCTGAACTTGTCGAGACAGTGTTCTTATCTTTTACTGATTTTACTTGACTGCAAACTGCACCGTTCCTGATAAAATGATGTTCGTTTGGCGTTTCTCGAGCTTTCTCTCTCAATTCTGCTACCAGTTTTCGATGTTTTACTCTCTGCTCCAGGGTTCGATCAGGTGTCAGATAAACATTTTTGAAAATCGTGCTTTTGAGCTCTTTCGATTTTCTCAAAAGATCTGCCAATGCGGTTCAGTGGCGTAACGTTGCCTGTTGCCCCCCCCCCCCCCCGCTGAAAAAGCGCCTCACTGCTGGCGCCCCCTCCCCTTTTGGCGCCCCTCCCTAAAATTGAACAAATTCTCTAAAAAATTCTCTAAAAACGCGCAGTTTTGCTAGTACCGTAGTTAAGTTTTTCGAAATTGTCCCACATTAAACGACAATTTGGCAACTTCCGTATTTACTCCAGTCCAAGGCGAGATGCACGATCTCTACTGTCATTTAGGTATCATTTACAGCTGAGCGTAAGGGTTAAATTTAAAATATTTAACCTTTTGGTGCTGTATAAAAATAACATTAATTTATTATTATTATTATTATCTGGAAACATTTCTTCTCAAACCTGCTCATAATATTGTATCTTAATATTTTTTCAATCCTAGTCTTCCCTAATTTTTTTACTCGCCAAGCAGAAATTTACAAATATTTATTTATCCTCTTACAAAGAATAAAACAATATACACATAATATAACAATGACCCTATATCGAAATTATATATAAAAATTCAATATAAAAATTCAATGTAAAAATTCAATATAAAAATTCAATATAAAAATTCAATAATAATCTTCAATTGTCTTCCCTAATTGTTTCTACTGGAAAATGCATACACATTAAGGTTTATTTTGTGTATCAAGTCTAATACCCTTTCAGTGTCCTGAACTGTTTTCGTGGTACACCTGTGCATTTCAAGTTGTTGTGCCACTAATATAATATAAAATAAATAAATAAATAAATAAAGTCAATTTTTAATATAATATAAAAAGTTTAAAAAAAATTATTATTAGTCTTTATAGTGGCCTGCACCACACAGTAACTCCTTGTTCCAACGTATGAAACCCCTCTAAATGTACACTGTCTGTTGCTTGTTGATCTGCAGCATCTACAGTGATGTTGTTGACACCTTTAAAGATAGGCGAGAGCTGCACCCTCAAGGTTCCTTTAAGGAGTGCCTCTAAACCTTTGCTTAGGTATCCAATGCAAAGATAGTAGTGTGTTCTAGTTCTTTCTTCTTCCTCAATGCATGACCAAACCACCTTAGTCTAGCTGCTTGTACTAATATATCAACTGGGGCAATTTTTGCTAATTTATGTGGAAGAGTTAAACTTTAATTATCAGGACTTTGGGTTTATAGCTATTTATTATGATATAACTATCCAAGCTTTGATTGTCTTCAAATAAAATGTTTTTTATTAGCTGCAATGGCCAGTACAGAAAAAAAAGGTGTTGATGGGGAGGAGATAGACAATTTCAACGCAATCCAGGATCCCAACACCCTTGCAGCGCTCCAGGAGAAGCTTGGTCAAATGACAATCAAGAAACCCGAGCTGGATGAGTTGGATCTCCCTCCAGCAGTTAGGAAGAGGGTTAATGCCATCAAGAACATTCAACTTGAGACCACTAAGATTGAGGCTGACTTCTTTCAGCAGGTAGCTGGCTGTTTCTTTATCAAAAGTCTGGAAATGATTAAATAGTTATTTCATTAGAATTATAATAGAATTTAATACTCAATTTTTAACAGAATGACGATACTTGTTAATTTAATAAGATACTTGTTCAAGATTCTGAAGACAATTCTATGAGCTGTTAACAGACCCTAATAGCGTTGAACACTCAAAAAGTACACTTTGTGATCATTGCATGTGATAGATGTGGATTCAGGTATAATTGCATAGATTGATCACATGTCAACTTTAAGGTTTAAAATGAAGATGCCGCAACACTGCACTACTCACCAGAATCCACATCTATGAAATTAATAAATTATTGATAAGTTAATGTAATAAGGTCAATTCGTGTACAGTTCAGTAAAATGTAGACTGTAGAGACTGTTCCCTATTTAGAGATGGCAGAATTTGTCCTTATCTAATTAATTGACTCTACTTTACAGGTGCACAGATTAGAAATTGAGTATTCGCTGAAGTACGCGCCTTTATACAAACGCCGAGCAGAAATTGTTTCGGGAGAAGTTGAACCAACTGCAAGCGAGTGCGTTCTGTTTGGGGAGGAGCAAGACAACGAGAAAACAGACAACGAAAAACAGGTGAATTTTCTATAAAATGCATTAAATTTACAATTGTGTTATGTTTCTTTGCAGTTTACACGCATTTACTTTTAGTGTTGATTGTTGAAGTTAGAAAGCTGATGTAGGTACCTAGTTCTCGCCTACGTTATCATCCGTCACCACCTAGCATATAAGTTCCGTTTGTAGGTTTACTGGTCCTATGTTACAAGAGATAATTTATACATATATATGTAATAACAGTAAAGAATTCCTCCCTTGATCCCATAAATACACACTGGTTCAGTGGTCGACTGGTTGAGCTACAAAATTATCTGTAATCGTCTCAACCAGCTGGCGTGTTGCAAATCTGAATTATTTATCATAATATATTATAAAGGGGGGGGTGTCACGTCCGTCTATGTCCGCTTGTCTCATAGAATCCAAAAAGGACAGGACATAGGCGGACATAGGCGGACATAGACGGACATAGGCGGACATAGGCGGACATAGGCGGACATAGACGGACATAGGCGGACATAGGCGGACATTAATGCAAATGGATACCTAAATTGCTAAATAAAATGTTCAATTTTTGCTGTTATAGGGGGATCATGTTTTTTGTCCGTTCGGTACCCTATATTTTCAAAACGGACAAAAAATAGAGCGGACAAAAACGGACAAAAATGGACAAAAACGGACAAAAATGGAAATAACATTTAGATGCTTCCTCCTCCTACTCTTCCTCCTCCTCCCCCTGGGTCTTCCTGATCTTCCTCACTCCTCTTCCTCCTCCCCTCCTCAGTCCTCCTCCTACTCCTCCTCCTCGTCCTCAGTCCTCCTCATCAGTCCTCAACAGTCCTCCTCCTCCCCAGTCCTCCTCCTCCTCCTGAGTCCTCCTCCTGGGTCCTCCTCCTCCTCTTCATCCTCCTCCTCTTCCTCCTCAGTCCTCAGTCCTCCTCCTCATCCTTCTCCTCAGTCCTCCATCCTCCTCCTCAGTCCTCCCCCAGTCCCCCTCCTCCTCCTCCTCCTCTTCCCTCTCAGTCATCCTCCTCAGCCATCCTCCTCAGTCCTCCTCAGTCCTCCTCCTCAGTCCTCCTCCTCCTGGGTCCTCCTCCTCCTCTTCATCCTCCTCCTCTTCCTCCTCGGTCCTCAGTCCTCCTCCTACTGGGTCCTCCTCCTCATCCTTCTCATCAGTCCTCCTCCTCCCCAGTCCTCTCCCAGTCCCCCTCCTTCTCCTCCTCCTATTCAGTCCTCCTCCTCCTCCTCCTTCTCAGTTATCCTCAGTCCTCCTTCTCATTTCTCCTAAGTCCTCCTCCTGAGTCCTCCTCCTGAGTCCTCCTCCTCTTCCTTCTGAGTCCTCCTCCTGAGTCCTCCTCCTCCTCCCTCTCAGTCATCCTCCTCAGTCATCCTCCTCAGCCATCCTCCCCAGCCATCCTCCTCAGCCATCCTCCTCAGTACTCCTCAGTCCTTCTCCTTCTCAGTCATCGTCACTCGTCAGTCCTCCTCCTCAGTCCTCCTCCTCCTCCTGGGTCCTCCTCCTCCTCCTCCTCCTGGGTCCTCCTGGGTCCTCCTGGGTCTTCCTGATCCTCCCCTCCTCAGTCCTCCTCCTACTCTTCCTCCTCGTCCTCAGTCCTCCTCATCAGTCCTCAACAGTTCTCCTCCTCCCCAGTCCTCCTCCTCCTGGGGCCTTTTCCTGGGTCCTCCTCCTGGGTCCTCCTCCTCCTGGGTCCTCTTCCTCCTGGGTCCTCCTTCTCTTCCTCAGTCCTTCTCCTCCTCAGTCCTCTTCCTCCTCTTCCTCCTCCTCCTCCCTCTCAGTCATCCTCCTCAGCCATCCTCCTCAGCCATCCTCCTCAGTCCTCCTCCTTCTCAGTCCTCCTCAGTCCTCCTCCTGAGTCCTCCTCCTCCTCAGTCATCCTCCTCAGTTCTCCTCCTCCTCCTCCTAGGTCCTCCTTCTGGGTCCTCCTCCTCCTCCTCCTCCTGGGTCTTCCTGATCCTTCTCCTCCCTCTCAGTCATCCTCCTCAGTCATCCTCCTCAGCCATCCTCCTCAGCCATCCTTCTCAGCCATCCTCCTCAGTACTCTTCAGTACTCTTCAGTCCTCAAAATGTTTGTCCGCTAATGTCCACCAATGTCCGCTAATGTCCACCAATGTCCATCCAAGTCCGCCAATGTCCGTCCGGGTCCGCCAATGTCCGTCCGAGTCCGCCAATGTCCGTCCGAGTCCGCCAATGTCCGTCCGAGTCCGCCAATGTCCGTCCGTGTCCGCCAATGTCCCAAAAAACACGTCCGTTGTCTCATAGAATCCAAAAAGGACAGGACATAGGCGGACATAGACGGACATGACACCCCCCCCTATAAAGGAGTAGAGGGGGGTAGATATCATTATATATGTTGTGTTGCAAATATGAATAATCCATTACAATCCATAAGTTGTGATTAGGCTCCCACTCCAGGCACAGGTCCTTTAAACAGACACGTCCCGGGCTGTTAAACATTATACACGGGGGTAGATTATAAAGGAGTAGAGGGGGTAGATTCCCTTTATTGTGTAATAGTTAGCCGTTAGCCTAGTGTGTACATTCTGCGCATTCCAATATACCTCCAATGATGGGTCTTGTTGTAACATATTCCTGAGGTTACCTTTACTTTACTATAAAGACACTAAAGAGCATTCAAATTCACATTCTAACATTTCATTCACTATGGTTCAGCGGCAATTTCAACTAATGATTTGAATATTTAATAATTACCTAATGACACAGCTCTCTCATGCCAGTGCTATTGTAGTCAGAATATTGCAATCTTGTAATACACGTGTGCGTGGTAGAGTGTAGGCGAGCCTTTTGTTCAGGTTATAACACTAATAAGTCTGGGTTATGCAATGCCTGTTTGATCAGCCGCTCCACCACAGATTGCATCACGGTTATCATATATTGGGAGTGTGTGACTGTTTAACAAAGGCGTGATCTGTCTTCTCTCTCTCTCTCTCTCTCTCTCTCTCTCTCTCTCTCTCTCTCTCTCTCTCTCTCTCTCTCTCTCTCTCTCTCTCTCTCTCTATCTCTCTCTCTCTCTCTCTCTCTCTCTCTCTCTCTCTCTCTCTCTCTCTCTCTCTCTCTCTCTCTCTCTCTCTCTCTCTCTCTCTCTCTCTCTCTCCCACTCTGACGTGATGTTCAATCTTTAAAATGAACCATCCCATTGAGATGTTGATTTAGGAGCACTACCCAGAGGCAGTATAAGTACACTAAAGCCTTAAAATCGGGGGAGGGTTCACCCTGATTTTTTTGTGAAACTTGGTTTCGAGATAGCAGTTGACCAACAAACTAGGACCGGTGACCGAACTTTTGAGGGGGTCCCGGACCCCAACCGCCAAACGGTGCCCGCGGGGCAGCCACGCCCATATTTGGTCCAAATTAGGCCCAATTTAGCCAAATACCCTCAACATGCCCAAACCCCAGATTTTAGGTGCTCTACTTGTAGCTAGTGGTCCCCTGAACTCGTATATGAATTTTCATCAAGATTGGACAAAAAATGACTGAGTTATGAGCCAAAAACCATATGCCCATATTTGGGCATACGCACCAAATTTGGTCGATTTTGGCCCATAAATTGGTCAAATATCAATATTTTTGAATAAAACCAACTTTATATGGAAGGTAAGCCTATACTACACATTCTCTATGATTATCAGCTCAGTATCTACCTAACTGTGGATTCTGTGTTCAATTAATCGCAAAAAATGAACAAAATCGCCCATATCTCAGTTCGCGATATTTGCGAAACTGATTTCGTTCAAAACAATAGAACTCAATAGGGTTTCAATATTTTTACATGAAATTTTCAGAATCAACGTAGAATCGCATTTCGACCTTAAGTTTTAATATGGAATTTTGAGTTAGGCCTTTAAAAAAATTTGGCGGCCAAATTCTGAAATTTGCCGGGCATTTTTCAGAATTTGGCCGCCAAATTTTTTTAAAGGCCTAACTCAAAATTCCATATTAAAACTTAAGGTCGAAATGCGATTCTACGTTGATTCTGAAAATTTCATGTAAAAATATTGAAACCCTATTGAGTTCTATTGTTTTGAACGAAATCAGTTTCGCAAATATCGCGAACTGAGATATGGGCGATTTTGTTCATTTTTTGCGATTAATTGAACACAGAATCCACAGTTAGGTAGATACTGAGCTGATAATCATAGAGAATGTGTAGTATAGGCTTGCCTTCCATATAAAGTTGGTTTCATTCAAAAATATTGATATTTGACCAATTTATGGGCCAAAATCGACCAAATTTGGTGCGTATGCCCAAATATGGGCATATGGTTTTTGGCTCATAACTCAGTCATTTTTTGTCCAATCTTGATGAAAATTCATATACGAGTTCAGGGGACCACTAGCTACAAGTAGAGCACCTAAAATCTGGGGTTTGGGCATGTTGAGGGTATTTGGCTAAATTGGGCCTAATTTGGACCAAATATGGGCGTGGCTGCCCCGCGGGCACCGTTTGGCGGTTGGGGTCCGAGACCCCCTCAAAAGTTCGGTCACCGGTCCTAGTTTGTTGGTCAACTGCTATCTCGAAACCAAGTTTCACAAAAAAATCAGGGTGAACCCTCCCCCTTATTAATTACAATCAATGTAGAAATATACACACATGTAGAAATATAATAACACTATTACTATAATTCAAATATATCTTATCTCTTTACATAAATTTAGGACAGTGACACTGGGTCTGAAAGAATGCACACAGATATTTTATCAGCTAAATGTCATTGAAGTTAGCATTGTAAAAAAGTTCGAAGATAGTCACATTTCGTTTTGAGGTAAAGTTTTGTTGCTCGTCGCTATTAACGTGTGATCTGCCAAATTATTTAATTTTCTAATGATACAAAATTTGAATCCTTCCAGTTCATGTCATTCGTCTCAAGTGCTTGTGCAGTAAAGCAGTAAGCAAATGCTTGTTGACTGCAGACTTGAATGAATTTAAGAATTTGTCTTGTAGGCAAGTCGATTAAAACTGGTGTACACAGTTGTTTGGATGAAACACTGCTAGTAATCTGCCTAACACACAATATTAAGCTACGCTAATAACCTGATCCTGGGTTAATACGGGTAAAATTAGTGCAGACAATATAATAATATTATATGTAAGGCTCTCTCGATCCCTGGATCTATGAACTGGATCTCTAAAAGTCTAAACTGGATCTCTAAACTGGATCTCTAATCAAGGCTCCCCAATTGACCAATTATCTTATACCCTCTACAATAGTAGTAGTTACATTTTGTTACGTGTCGATAATCCGTGCTTTTCAACTAAATACAAGTACAAGTAACGTCCGCTAAAAGTCCGCTAACGGTAACAGCGGTAAGACATGAAGAAAGTCAAAGTAACATCAGATATTATTCAGTCAGATATCAGTTCATCTCCTCTTTCTGCTTCAACTCAGCCAAGAGCTTCTACCTATTTGAATTATGCATTCATTTCTGAGGGAAAATGTACTTCCTGTCTTGATACTAATGCTGAAAACAAATCACTATGTTGTCACGAGTGTAATAGACCGTACCATGCTGTATGTTTGAATGACCAAGGTGGTAAAAAGGAGGGCCAAGACATTATCTGCCCCTCTAGATTCTACAAGTCCTTTATTAAGGCTGCTAATAAAGAGGGTGTGTATGCTAATCGGGCTGGTAATTTTGTGTTTCTTTGTGACGAGTGTAAGGTGGAAAAAGGAAAGATAAAGAGATTTAGCAGAATACCTATCCGGGATAGGTATTCTCTTTTGGATGATAGGATTGATGCAGTGAATAAATCTTTGTTGTTTGAATTGAAAGAGTTAGAAAATATGCTAATATCTCCTCTGAACAATAGTATAGCTACACATCAGTCTTCTTCGATCCCTGACTCTAACGAGGAGGATAATGCTTGGAATGATAAGCAGAGAACAGAAAATCTGACTGAAGAGGTTTCAGTACATAAGGACCAACTGGGTAAACTTATCAGCGCTGAAAAAATAGAAAAGATATGCGTAGAAAATGGTGTCACAGTAAACAAAACTTTTCACATGCAGAAATCTAATACTACTGGAATGGTTCTTAATTCTCAACTTGATGTTGATGTTCTGACTGCTAAACTTAAGGGTGCTCAGCATAAAGTTGTGAAAGTGTCAACTAGAGTACCAACTGTCCACATTGTGGGATTGTCAAAAGAGTTAAATGTCAAAAGAATTAATAATGCTGCGGAGGAATTGAAATCTAGGATTTTGAAACAGAATCCTAGTACATCAACGCTGTTTGAATGTGCTTCCACTTCTTGTGATGATAAACTGATTTTGGCTGTTAATCCTCTCAAAAACAGCAATGCAAGCTTTAAAGTAAGTAATGTTATAAGATCCATTCTTGCTAATCAAGGAAGGTGTTTATTGGATATCAGTCTATGATAGTATCTTTTTTCTTCGGTGTTTCAAGTGTCAGGGCATTACAGCACTACAGCAGGGACTGTGATAACAATCAAGTCTGGTTTTTGCTCTGGTAATCATTCAACAAATTCTTGCGGAAACTTGATCAAGATTTCAAGTGTTGTAACTGTGTCAAAGCTAAGAACACACTTGCTCTCTGACATTTCTACTCGATGTGATAATATTATCTTGACCGGAGATCTTAGATTATATTCTTTGATAGTAACAACAGGGCCAGCATCTGATACTCTCAAAATACTCAAATCATTTATGGTCTTCTTTCGCTGTAAAATCTTCCAACACAGATTGGTGGCGTATGTCTGGACCATGACCAGTTATTCACTTTCTTACTTATCATCCATCTTTATTGTGTGTTGACAATAGCGACACACTAATATACAAATCACATGTACATTTCGGGGATGTTTAGATTAAACACGCTGGGTATAAATTTCATCTTAATAGTGGTATTTTTAAACTTCAATTTATTTATATTATTAAATATCTCAGGAGAACGATAATGACTCAGATAAAGGAATACCTGGGTTCTGGCTCACTATCTTCAAGAACACGGAAATACTTGCCGAGATGACGCAGCCGCATGACGAACCCATTTTAGAAGCACTGCGGGACATCAACGTCTCCTTCCCTGAGAATGGCATGGGCTTCGTCCTGGAGTTCGTGTTCACGGAGAACGAGTATTTTGAAGATAGCGTGTTGACTAAAACATATCACATGAAGTCGGAGCCTGATGAGATGGACCCTGTTGCGTTTGATGGGCCCGAGATTATTGGATCTACTGGCTGTAATATCAACTGGAAGAAAGGTTTGTGCTAGGGCCTAGGTTAGGTAGAGTTTCCGGGACACAGATTATAATTATTGTGCTGAAGAAATGACCTGAATAGTTTCTTTAACTAGCAACTGGCTTTTAATTAGCAGAAAAGTTCAACATGTTTGAGAAAGTTTATTTTCAGTTAGCTTGTGAAAGTCATATAAATATATCGTACGGTACATGAGTACAACATATTCAATATTCATATTTATTTAAGTTTGAACACACACCAGACTTTAACATAGCTTTTAATGTGTATTTTACCAGGTAAGAATGTAACTCAGAAAGTAGTTAAGAAGAAACAGAGGATGAAAGGAAAGGGTCAGACCCGTATCATTCAGAAAACGATAAAAGAAGACAGTTTCTTCAACTTCTTCTTTCCTCCCTCGATGCCAGAAGATGAAGAAAGTGTGGACGAAGAGTTGGAAGCCCTCCTCACGACTGATTTCGAGGTTAGAGCAGACTTTAAGGAGATGATTTTATTGTAACGGTGTGCGTGTGAATTATTATATTTTATTCAACTGACGATTTGTTAAAACCTTTGTTGAATGATGTGTCCACTAAATGTTCAATCGGGGGATTAGGGATAACCTTAGAGAATTGTTAGGAAGCCTTTGTCTTACTCCGGTAATATTCTGAAAATATAACTCAATATAATGTTACACAAAGAAAACGGCACAAATCTTATGCTTTATTTATACTTTTCAACAATTCAATTCATAACGGTATATAGTTTAATAATAACGCGGGCTTTACATCTCACCGGGTTGGAAGCCACTGATGTACACGGTTACAGAGCTAGTGTTATAATGTAGAGAGAATTCAACTTTAGCATGACAGGCTGACTTGATTAATTAGTTAAAATCTAGTTACCTTTATGTCATGAGAGAGAATTGGACCGTTCACTTTGTCACGACTCACGAGATATCTTATTATATATAGAGCTGAAGTCTGAATACGATTTACACATGCATTTTGATCCAGGATATTATATAATCTAATTTATAGTGTCTGAAATGGTTCTCAAATCCTGGCTCGGTCTCACCACTCGAGTTAATAAACTTTCTCATAAATTGCCCTTCATCAAACCTGTTTATATCCAGATTGGCCAGTACATCAGAGAAAGAATCATCCCCAAAGCTATCTGGTACTTTACGAACGAAGTTACCGACATTGAAAGTGATTTAGATGATGGGGAAAGTGATGAAGACTATAGTGACACCAGCGATTATGTGAGTTAAACATACCATTAATTAGATTATTTATTTATTAATCAATGTGTTGAAAATACATTTAATACCCTTGTATTTGCAGTCAAAATTCAAATCTAATTAGTAACAAAATTGCAATCTTTGGAAAACATACCACGATCATCTTGTACGATCGTACAATGTACAAGGCTTAAAGCTTCTTGTGAACGTAGAGTGAAAATAACCCAGGTCATACAGTTGGGTGTAGATATGTCCAACTGAATACTGTTAACTGTTGAGTTCCTCTCCAATTTGTGAGGTATTTGATGTGGCTCCCCTTTCGGTATCCCAGAGGTGGACCGTCTATAATTATAAGCAGATGTGCCCGCTTACTTGTGTGATTTAGCATCAAGTTTTGACTGCACGCCTTTCCCACGCACGGTGCAAGTTTCCTAAAACGGGACTCACCCGCTAATGCTCACCCTGATTATATAGGCCAGGGTTTTCTAAGCTAATCCTAGAATCGAGTAGAGCTGCTCGATTTATGGTTTTATGTTCTAAGTTGCACCAGATCTGAGGCTGATTCGTTTGTCACCGAAAGGGATATCAGTATTAAATCTTAGTACTGTAGCTAGCAATAATCTTTACTGAAAATTATACATCGCTGAATATTGCTGATAAGATTAGAAGTGAAGGAAGTACTACTTTCGTTACATTTTTAACGGTCACATTGTATAAAATGTTTCAATGAGTATAAGTAGCAAGCATTTCGACAAGTTGAATTCTCATAATGAGTTACGAGATGTAGCAGTAAACCGTCTCGACAGGATAGAGCACATATTTTATGTTAAACGATTTTAGCCACAACTTGACTGGTGAAACCATTATAACCATTATAAAACCAGTATAACACCCGAATAAGGGTCCCTAAACTCTTACCCCGGCCTAAACTTTCAGAAACATGATGAACCCCATTCCTAAACACTGGTTACTATCATTTCTTTAGCGTGATCTAATAAAATGTTATCTCATTCGTTTCTCAATTTTAAGGACGAAGAATGCGAGAATAACGAAAACATCGTGGCTAACGAAACCGTGACGGATGTACAGAAGGAGGAGTGCAAGCAGCAATAACCTCACAACACCTTTCTTTTCTACATTACCCGTTTCAATTCCGCTAAAACTGCATTATATTTTTACGATTTCTTTTTTAATGTAATTTATTTGAGTGTTTTGAAACTGACGCTTTGTTCACACCATAAAAATCCTGGAACGATTTTCTTTAAAACCTTTTAAGTCAATCGGCTGAAATGGAAGCTCATAGTGAGACCTTTATTTGATTCAGTTTTTAATACAAATATTGTTCTATAATTATGAGATTATTGTTCGTTCGGATGGTGAACACTTCGTATCTTTCCACAGACCCGCGCGGCTTTGCAAACCCGCGAAAGTGCCGAACCGTTTTGCTTTGTGACAAAACGACCTCTTACAAGCTATGAAAGTTAATAACGTCAACACTATTCACGCGTGTGCTGAGCCGCGCAATGTCGCAACTTACCAAAATAAACCGCCTAGACAGTTTCAACCGAGTGCGCATGACCGGTTATCTTAGAATATGTTCGATTAGAAGTCTTCTTCATTAAATATTGCAGATAACGTACCAATAGTGACAGGCGGCCATTTTCTGTCGAGATTTAATGATCACTGATGGATGAAGAGATGTATCGGATATTATTCTTAGTTAGAAGATAAATGTGTTACGTAAGCTTACTGATGTGAGAGTAAAGTAAAGAATTAATATTAAGTCATGAGTGTAATACGTAACTCTGCCTGTACAGCTCTTTGGTTACATAGCAAACTGTCTCTATGTGGAATGAATTGATGCATCAGTTATGATACAGAGGTGGAAAGTTTCCAACGGATTACGCTAGTGTAATTTTGACACAATAGCTATATGTAAAAATGATTACGGAGGGGGAAGGGGGTTAAAAATTGACCTAAAAAGGATTACGTAATATGTGGACGACCCCTAAGGTCAGCCAATGAAAATAAATTTAAAATCAATCCAAACATTACCGGACCACTTGAAAACGTGTATACGGTAAAAATACGTTAAGTAAAGTATGTTCAGAGTTTAGTATTTGATAATACACTCTCACTGCCGTCATATTTGATATTATCACACTTTCGAGCCAAATTTGGCAGGAAAGCAGAATTGATATTACATGCCGCGATGGGGAGCACTGGCTCTCACCCGGGGGCATGAAATATCAATTAGTTGCTGAGAGAGAGCCCGATATTCCCATAGGAACAAGGAGCCCACTCTCAACAACTGTTCTACTACTGTGAGGTACTGATTTAGATAAAGATTTAAATCAACAACCTGAAGTAGTCTATGACCGTTAATGCAATGATCAGATAAACTTTCCAGGATAAGGAAAAATTTATATTTATACCTGGTTTTGAAAATATTTCCTTGTGTTTGAGATGCGTTAAGCGAAATACATTTTTTTGTTGTTAAACTTTTTCAAGCTGTTCCCTTTTTATTGCACTTCATAGTTCAAAGCCTAATTAGGCTTCGGATGATGAAACAAAGTAAAAACTCCCTGGCTTGTACGAGCTTTAAGTGACTTAAAGGTCACTGAAAACGAGATCAAAGTTTACAAGCAGACTTGAAAGTTGCACAAAGTTTTGGTACTTGTCAGCGATACAATCAATCAGGCTCATTAATTTCCTTAAACGCTTACTTGAAATTAAAAAGGAAGTGTCAGAACAAACTACAGTCACCCTCACAAAAAGTAGTAAACACTAAACGATGTTTGATCAATTCGAAGGAAGAAAACACACAAAACAAAGCCAGATTTCAGCCATTTCAGACCTCAATTTTAACCCCCTCTGATCACTTCTTTGAGCCATATTCCATATAGAAATTGTGCAGAAATTATACTTGGCTTTTCCAAACCGGTTTCGCCTAGATTAGCTTGCGAAATTCGTGGCTGATCTATAAACAGACTGATAAAGAGACTTATAGATTCTGTACAATAAAGAGCGAAAATTCTATCCCAGGACCAGTTTTAACTGAATTTTAGTTAGTGCAAATAAGTGCAATAAAAACATCCTATAAAATTTATTATCTATATAAATATATCAAGGGACGAATGACGTAACTTAATCAGCTAATCTGGTTATAAGTTAGTCTGGGCACTGGGGCAAACAGGTCCGATGATTAATGTGCTGCCATTCTTTAGACCAATTCAATATTGGTAACAGTGAACTACCTGGCCATGACCAGGGTGGTTATAGGCTGGTGGAGTACTGCGTTCTAAAATGTTGAAGAGATACATTTGAATATTACAAATGTTCTGATCATTTCCAGTTCAGATAATTTCTAGCTCGAAGCAGATAATGGCAAATAATGGCAAGTAAAGATGAATACTGACTAAGAACTAAGCAGAATACTCGATAAAATTCCAAGTCAACGATTACAAGTTGCATTGATTAAATCATTCTGAAATAACAGACAATCAAGAATCAAGACGGACGATATAATTGTTGATGTAAATCAGGGTGTGTAGTGTATAATGTGGACTGATAAATAGACACTAGTTATGACCCCACAGCTCTATTCAAATACAAGAACTAGGAAATACTTTCACCTTATCGCAGATAGTGATACAGATTATACGATAAGGACTGTGATGTATAATCAACACTTAAAAGGATGTTCTATACATTATACTGCATCTACACTCTACAGTTTTAATGACCTTAAAAATATCTAATAGAAATAAAGTATTAGAATCACCTCACATCGATTGATTTGCAGGATGTAATAACGTATCAAACGCGCTCGCGGCGGAACATTCTAGACGCCAATAAGTCCAAGTCCCATGCTCAATAAATATATTAATATTCAATGCACTACGTACCACTTATCAGTAGAAAGCAAATTGCGCGGCATACAGCATTCACTGTGTCATAAATGTGATGAGCACGTGAGATCTTAATTGTACGTATTGTATCTTCGATATCTGAAATACTAACTCATCGAGAGCTATATATAGCTTGAACATTATAAACATAAATAAGTTCGACATGTCTAGTTTGCTTTGGTGAGATTTATAACTAACGTTTGATCAAATTCTGCTTTCCCGGCCAAATTAGGCTCCAAATAATGGCAAATTATGGCAAGTAAAGATGAATACTGACTAAGAACTAAGCAGAATACTCGATAAAATTCTGAGTCAACGATTACAAGTTGCATTGATTAAATCATTCTGAAATAACAGACAGTCAAGAATCAAAACGGACTATAAAATTTTGGATGTGAATTAGGGCGTGTGGTGTATAATGTGGACTGATAGATTATAGACACTAATTATAGCTCCACAACTCTATTTAAATACAAGAACTAGGAAATACTTTCACCTTATCGCAGATACACATTTATGATAAGGACTCTGATGTATTTAATCAACACTTGAACGGATGTTCTATACATTGTATATTTTCGGTAATAATGATCAAGTATAAAATAACCTCACACCGATTAATATGCAGGATATAATTTGTGATTAATAAGACGTGCCGATCGTGGCGGAATATTCTAGACGCCAATAAGTACAAGTCCCATGCTCAATAAATATATTAATATTCAATGCACTACGTACCACTTATCAGTAGAAAGCAAATTGCGCGGCATACAGCATTCACTGTGTCATAAATGTGATGAGCACGTGAGATCTTAATTGTACGTATTGTATCTTCGATATCTGAAATACTAACTCATCGAGAGCTATATATGATATAGCTTGAACATTACAAACATAAATAAGTTCGACATGTCTAGTTTGCTTTGGTGAGATTTATAACTAACGTTTGATCAAATTCTGCTTTCCCGGCCAAATTTGGCTCCAAAGAAAGTGTGATAAAACATTAATCACATGCCTTCTCATGCGATATCAACATTTTCAAAACTCGGCAAGCCTCGTGATTGAAAATGTCGATATAACCCTCGGCAAGCCTCGGGAAATATCGAAACTTTCGCTAACTCGGCAAGCCTCGTGGGCGAAAGTTTTGATATCGCATGAGAAGGCATGTGATAAATGTATAATATTCAATGCACTACGTACCACTTATCAGTAGAAAGCAAATTGCGCGGCATACAGCATTCACTGTGTCATAAATGTGATGAGCACGTGAGATCTTAATTGTACGTATTGTATCTTCGATATCTGAAATACTAACTCATCGAGAGCTATATATGATATAGCTTGAACATTACAAACATAAATAAGTTCGACATGTCTAGTTTGCTTTGGTGAGATTTATAACTAACGTTTGATCAAATTCTGCTTTCCCGGCCAAATTTGGCTCCAAAGAAAGTGTGATAAAACATTAATCACATGCCTTCTCATGCGATATCAACATTTTCAAAACTCGGCAAGCCTCGTGATTGAAAATGTCGATATAACCCTCGGCAAGCCTCGGGAAATATCGAAACTTTCGCTAACTCGGCAAGCCTCGTGGGCGAAAGTTTTGATATCGCATGAGAAGGCATGTGATAAATGTATAATACACTCTCACTGCCGTTTTAAATTTGTTAGCTCTCGTTATCGCACTGCTTATCTCTTGATAATTGCACCGCTACTGCGCTGCTAGCTTGTTGTGCTGATCTTTACGATGGCAGATTTGGACTTGGAAAGTATCAATTACATGTGGAATGAGATGTTCACCTGGAGCAAAGAGACTCTGAAGAAATTTGGCAAGCCGTACGGAAAGTTAAAGGACATTGCGGACGCTAAGAACTTCAACAGACTGAATAAGCCGGAGGTTGTCGATGTGTGTGGTCGATCTTTTGAGTATACGAACTATCTTATGGAGACCGTTGAAGCGTATAAGAATGTGTTGACCAGACTTCAGGGTCAGTTAATTGAGAAGCAAGAGCAGGTTATCAGTGTTCAGGCCGAGCTATCAGCTTGCAAGACTGAGCAACTTGAAGCGATGAAGAAAACTGTGTCAAGTTCAGTTGCTGATTCAGTGAAAGCGGAGTTCCAATCTTACAGCTCTATCGTTCAAAGTTTTCCAGCACAGTCTCCAGTAATCAGCCCAGAAGCATTGACGTCTGTAGTCAAGACTATTGTTGCAGAGGAGGACCGCAGCAGGAACCTTCTTATCTTCGGTCTGCCTGAGGAAAAAGAAGAGAAGCTCGAATCTCAAGTCAGTGAAGTTCTGGAAACTATTGGCATAAAGCCAAAAGTAGAGGCTCAGAGAATAGGAAAAAAGAAAACGGTTGACTCAACGCGACCAGTTAAAGTTATTACCTCAAACTCGCTCATCGTTGATCAGATTCTGAGGAATGCCAGGAACCTGCGGCAGAGTGAGAAGTTTAAGACAGTTTTC